TATTCACGTACCTCTTCCACAAGGACGGGCGTAGAGTGGATGCCTGGATGGCGTCCGTCTCAAATTTTTCCATGAAAATGTTGGCCACAACCAGAGATAAGGGAGAACCCATTGGGGTGCCTTCAGTTTGTATAATGTTCCATTCCAGGTGAAGTATGTATTGGTGAGGCACTGTCTCACCAGGGCTGGTACATCAGCATTCAGTCCTTGTTGGACCAAATCTTAAATTATTGCAATGGTATCGGGCACAGTAACTTTGGTGAACAGATAAACTACATAGAAACCAACGAGCAAATCACCTGCCAACAGTCCTTAATTGAAGATACCAGGTGAGCTGAGTTAAGAACATAAGAGGTGGTCTTACCAGTGAATAGCTGCAAGGTATCAATGGTGGAGACGATAGAACGAAGGGGTGTACCTTCTTTATGGATTTTTGGTAAGCCATATAGTCTGGGTGGTCTAGCAGCAGAAGGTTTTAAGGAAAACCGTTTGGTCTGTTCAATTAATGAAGCTGAATCAGTGATGATACCGTTCGTTTTTGTAACAAGGCAGCTGGTGGGATCTCTTTAAATTTTTGTGTAGCTACCATCATTAAATAGGTCCTGAATTTTATTATTGTACACCTTTTTGTCCATGATGACCGTGGCATTGCCCTTGTCGGCTGAGAAGATGATGATATCTTCCCTCTTTTTTAATTGAAATAACTCAAAGCGCTCCTCCTTACTGATGTTGCTGACTGGTATCTTAGCGCTTTTGAGGGTTGCAGCAATTTCAGATCTTGTCGCACCTGCAGCGATGTGTCTCAAACACTGAAGAGTTACATCGACCTGGGCAATGATGTCATCCTCTGGTATGTGTTTGGGGGTGACTGCAAAGTTTAACCCTTTAGCTAAAACCGACTTTAGACCATCGGAAATAGGGCTATTACTCAGATTAATAAATTATCCTAAATATAATTTGTATAAATGGTAAATAATCAATTACAGCACACATGCCTCGAATAATTAAGTAAGCTGAAGAATATATTTGTAATCAATCAATGCAATATTTCATGGCTGCCTTCACCTAAGATTACACACCAACCAGATGTCCCACGGCCATATTGCCAGCATCATGATATAGAACCGTATTTATCATCAACTGCTGGATGAATGCCTCCCATATCCGTTGCCATCTCTCACGGACCAGCGATGCAAACTGTACGTATACGATTCGTAAATCCACGCTGCCTTGCAAAGTTTTGTACAATCGTTGCTAAAGGATGGGACTTAAAAACAAGGCCAACACCAAGTTGTTGGAATGTCTGCTTAAGCGTCTCGTTAATTGTGATTGAAACATTTTGTTCCGGCAGGAGAAAGGGCTGCATAGAAGGAGGGGGGAAGGGAGGAGGGAGTGCAATGGAGAAAACCCGACCCAACCAGTGGAATGCGCCACGTATTTTCTCCTCGCCGCTGTTTTGACGGCGCAGAGTGGACCCCTGCGCTTGTTTACGCTTCCCCGCTGATAGCGCCTCCACATCTTCGCCGAAGGTCGAAGCTGTGCAGCGCATTATGAACGGGAAATGGTGGGGGGAGGCACGGAACTCTCTTTTTGTTTCTAAACATGAGAGGCTTCAAGAGTCCAGGGCTGCGGGCGTCATTAATAACAAGTTGTGGAGGATGCGTGGGAGAGCTCAAGGGGAAGACTTCAAAAGTGTCTGTTGCAAAACCTTCGAGTCATGTATTATACTTATTATTGTTGGACTCAAAGCACGCATTTCTGTAATCTGCTGCTGATATTTAAAAGGTTTATTTCTATGGCCAACGAGAAAATTACATGATATATTTGTTGGGGAGGCTCTGGAGGCGATGTCTATTGGAGTGCTTTTGACAGTTTGAGTTCGAGCCCACGGGCAGACGAGGCAGATAAATGTTGAAATGCAGAAAATCTGCCCCACATGTGATGAGGAGGTGCATTTGGGTGGAATTCCTTTGATTTCTGAGCCTAGCCAACTGCTGTAAAAATACCCGCACAGCAGCAGCAGCAGCCTCCAAATTGTTGCTTACACTGATAACACTACGTAACACAATTTTTGTTCGCGGGTAGTAAGTGTTATTTTGTAATTGCTTATGCCTAAAAAGTATAGAAAATGGCTATTATTCCCCACAAACTTTGCAAAATAACGCACGAAACCCGAGGCCACGAGGGAAAGGAGCATGAAGGCATGAGTCACTTTACAACAGTTGTAAAGAAAAAAAAGTTGTAATAATCATAAACGTTCATATTAATAACAATAACACACATTAAATACAATTAGGGAATGCCATGTTAAAACAGCGGTGGTGCAGTGGTTAGCGCAGTGCCATGTTGAAAAATCAGTCCTGGGACCACCTTCATCCACCCCGCATCCACCCGCACTGACAAGCATGATGAGGAATTGTCAAACAACTCCCCCCCCCCATTACTGACACAGTGGATGACTGCGCGAGGGAGGTTACGGTGTGGCTGTGGTTGTCAAGAACAACTTTACAAACACTTCGCAGTTCTGACAAGTCCATTCAAAATGTTATTCCAGTGCAGTAGAGCACACATTTTCAACAACACAAATCGTTAACAAGAGACGGTTGCAAGAACTGCGACTGGAAAGGCAACTTAACAGTGGTGAATCGTACAGCACTGTACATGCACTGTACATGCTGCAGCAAAGGCTATTATTGATATTTTCATTTAAATCGCTCACTTGGGATTTATGGAATGCTGCATATTTTTTATATATATGCGCAAATGCACTAACATGCTAATGTGTTTATCCAGCTTAAATCAGCAATAAAAAGCTTTGCGACTCTCACGAATTGATACAGTTTTCATTAATACTGCATATTATTAATGGGTACTAAAAGCTAATGTGCCACGTCACTGCCACGGTGTGTAGCTCAAACAAATGATCACTCGTGCGGAGGAAGATCTCGGCAAACGCTATGCAACATTAATGAAGCGCACCAGAATGACCGCATAGCCTCTTGGAACAGAATGCAAATGTACAACCGCGCGACTTATTTTAGCCCTTTGATCTGCAACACTGCAATGGACGTTTAGACATGTACAGTAACTCCAAGGTTGGGCGGCACTGTGAATGTTGAGTTAAAAAGGAACAGATAAGACACCCAAGGGGAGGGAGGCGTCGACGCCAAAGTCAAATCGGAGCGCGAGCGCAAGCGGCAGTTGTGCTATGATCACAATCCTGAGACATACTCTTTGGTTCTATTAGGTAAAAAATAAAACAAAAAACATTTTTGTCGTTTTATCTTTTACCAACGTGACTTTACCGAATAGAACCAAAGAGTATGGATCCTTGCAGTCACAAAAGCTTCAAATCTAGAATCCTGAGACACTTGCAGAAAAAAAAAGCCGCGTATGATGGCGTATTTTGTGGGACATTTAAGTGCACTTAACATGAAACGATAAAGCCATTACAAAAAATACTACCACGTCAATACAACTAATGTACACTAAGCGACCATATCATTACATCCCCATTATTTAACGGCGAGTCTTACTTGAAATCTAATCAACTTCATTCCTCCATTCTCGGGTGGCCATACGGAATATTTACATTTTTCCGTTTTTTTTAAAATAACAATAAAAATATATATTTATACTGCGAAAAATCCGCCCTACACAGTATGGCAGATATATTCCAGTGAAAGTTTGCGATTAAATATTTCCGTGATGCGGAAGTGACACAAGATGTAAGATGCAGGCATGATCGCTCTCTCCCGTTGGGACTGCATGGGCCGCTTGCCGGTAATGGTCGTGACGAACTCAGCAATGGGCGCTGTCGCTTCGACCTTCCCGCTCGCCCGTCGCCCAACCCTGCCGCGTAATTAGCTGTGGAGGCGGCGTGCGACGATGCCTATCTGGAGCGCGAGTTGTTGTTTATGTCAAGACCCGGCTCCCAGTCTCCGTCACGCCGCGCCGTTGACGCCACCCGCTCACGTCAGTGCGGCCCTCTACCGTCATGTGGCCCCAGGGAGGACCAGGCCCAACGGCGAGAATCTGGACCGGGACCCCGCCGGTGCCGCCGCGGGTGCCAGGTCTGGTGAGAGCTGCCTGAACGGTTCGCGATTTTACACAGCACGGCGGTGTTTTGTGCAGACTTTGGCATCGTTGCATTAACGCTGCATCGCAACAAGTCTTTACCGAGTACAACACTTTTATTTATTTCACTAGGAAGTGGAAACAAACCCGGTTGAGACAAAATAAATAATGGTCTTATTTGCAAGAGGAACCTGGATAAATAAATATGCTGAACGATTGAAATGATAAAAACAATAAGTTTTATAGCCAAAAAAAATTGCACGTTGAAATGGGAAGTAAACTTTAAAATAAAATGAAACCTAAGTATTAATGTGAGTATTCTTAGTATTAATGTGAGTATTAATAATAAATAAAGCCTAAATATAAGTCATGAATAAGAAATGTAAAGTCAGGTATGAGTATGCCATTGCTGAAGTGAGCATAGTCCAGGGTTTTAATTCCACGAGCTGATCACATGGTAGAAATGCCACATTCCAATGGATCTTCTTCAGAAGAATATGCCCTGGATTATCATGAACTATATTCAGTTCGTTTTTAAGACCAAAAACAACTCAAGAATTCCATTGTTGGACCCTCTTAACAAAATGTCTTGATAATCATCGCAGCTTTCTTGGACGAAAAAAATCATATTTTTGGGCCTGTGGGCAAGATGACAACCTTCTCATGGTCTTCACTGTTCCGTGTGAAAACACAACGAATTTAACAACTCAGCGACTGAAGATAATCGTTCTCCCGATCCCAAAAGCAACGGCAACACTGTGAGCGGCACCTACTCGGGCCAAGTCACCGCACCGACGACCATCACCGCACATCACGGAACTAAACATCCCCGAGCTGCTGAAGGCTGAGAATATCGATGCAGTTGCACGACTATAATAGTCCCATCATAGTCAGGTCGCGAGCAGCCGAGGGGGTCTCCGTACCGAGAGGCAGGACGTTGGTGGGGTGAGGCGGAGTGATGTAGGTTTCCGTGAAGTTGGCATTGCACATGTTTCCCACGCAGCAGCAAAAGCGCGAGCGTCCGTTGAGGATATTGGTGGGCGGCACCGACACAAGGCACTCCGACTGCCGGCAGTTGAGCTTCTCCCCGGGCTGTAGCCAGCAGCCTGTCTCGGGCATCACAGCAGCAATAGCACAAACAAGCACACGCGCAAGCACACGCACAAGCACACGTGTATAAGACAAAGACACACACACATATGCACGCATGCACTTACATGCAGCAACAACAACAGCTGTCATTCGCCACGAATTGGAGGTGATGTTACCACAGTGCTTGGGGCGGGCTAGGTGCACTTTAAGGCCACGTAATTTGTTGAAGGCTCTGGCAGGTCACGGGACAGACCCAGGTGTTACGGATTGACCAAGCTCAATGTACCACCCACAAACATCCTGAGCGAGTCGCCTGACAAGTCAGTAATTGTCTTGAGATTTTATGGAAGTTTTGTGAAAAGTTTTGCGAACGGCTGATGTTGTTACGACAACGTTTCTCTCAGCAAATTCATCTGGCTCATTAACATAACGCACCGATGCGCGACCGATTTGTCGATTGGAGTGCGAGACAAGGTGCATGCAGGCGAGAAAGATTTGATCGTCAAAGCATAACGAGAAATGACGGCCGTCAGTCACTCCAACGTACGATGCATTTAATGAGAGAAAAGCACAAGAGAAAAGGCGCACGTCAAGTGCACACAGCTCGGTGCAAACAGACGGAACTGTTTTGATTTAAAGCTTTCGTGACTGCAGTAATTCATATTCTTAGTTTTTTGTTATTTTGTTGTTTCTCTTCAACGTGACTTTACCGAAAAAACTAAGAATATAGACGGAACTGTGTTTTCTGTGCTCCCTTTTAAATTCTCTGAATATCTGTGACGTGTGATGGTGTCACCTTTGGTTGGGTTTCATCTATTTATTTCCCTTCCTATGAGTTACACTGCGATCGTGCTATTGGCCTCATGTCACAGTACAAATAAACTTCCATTCAGAACTCTCGCTCGTACGTACGTAATGCACACCTTGTAATATGGGAACAGCTCTGGAAAAATGACGCCACATATCTCATTGTGCAGTCACTTTAAGAGGCACTAGGAGCCACCGTTAATATTCTCTGCAGTGGTTGTTGCCTAGCAATGCATCAACATTTTACAATCTCAGAGCTGGAATAAACCACAGGCAAACAAAACCTATTTAATGCTAAGATTTGTTTTCCGCAGACACTGATGGCTGGGCTTAGACCATTAACTCGTCACAAGCTGAAAACCAAATGTAATCACTCGTGGCTGCCTGGATTAAAACCCAAGTTCAGAGCAGTGCCGGCCCAACGCTCTAAAAAGGTATTCGTCCCCTGAGCTTCCAATAACCTCACCGATAAAGCCCATCTTAAAAACACAGCAGCCTACTGCTACATATTTGCTGCTTCTACACAAGCCACCTAGTCTACAGCAAGCGGTCGGTACACAGTAGCAATCTGTGAGCCTTACAGTTGACCTCAATGGTAACATTTCCCATCACGTTACATTTGTGCTCCTAATTCATTGTTTTGCCTTTGTGGTCTACGGAGATCGGGGTGGAAGGAGGGCGACTTAAGGCACACAGTCAAACCTGAAAGTTGAATACGAGCAGATTACAGCTCTGTGAAAGCATACTCCAAACCGTAATGGATTGAAAGAAAAGCTTTAGAAATATTTAGAAGATGTATTTCAGGATGCGGAAAGAGGCTCGGTTTAGAAGTTACTAGCGATGACAGGTGTTTGATACGAGAACGGTTTTAAGATGAAATTACAGCATGTGGAATGCACTGTATAAACCAACCGCAAAGCGTGTCCGCACCGCTACGGCGGAGGCGCTGTGTCACGGCGGGATTATAATGACATGACGCAAAATGACAGATGCCACGTTTTTGCTTCCTAAAGCAGAAGGCACACACATGTTCCTAAAATGTAGCTTCGACAAACACAGTTAAATGAAACGATGTGATAGATGGAGTCAAAACAAAATTAGTCGTCAAGTAAAAGGCAAAGTTCACAGGAGACCGCCAAGAGTCAGGCTCGTACAAGATGAGGTCAAAGAGGTCAATTCGCGCCCTGAATCGCCACAAGCAGTGGGTCCTGGTTCATTATTATTATTGTGCTAGTTTACCCAGGACAACCTCACTGAATCTCAAGACTCTTTTTTAAGGAGGGTCCTACAATGTTTATGCAATAGGGTGATGTGTAATCCCAAATTAGTAATTTCCAGGTACATTTTCAGTTTTGGGAAGTTTGGCCAATCCTAGTTATATTCTGTGTATTTTTTATGTTGGGAGGAAACCAGAGAACCCAGAGGAAACCCATTCAGAACAGGGGGTGAGCATACAAAAGACTCTAAACAGAAAATAGCCTTAGTCGGCGATCGAACCAAGTCCCTTTTGGCCACGAGGCACGAGTGTGACTGCTGCACCACCCTGCTGCTCTGGTTAGAGGTACTAGATCAGTGGTTCCCAACCGAGGTATGGACTTGCGGACCACCAACAACACTCAAAAACAAATTATGGCCCACGATGCAATAATAAACTTGGCGTTTTGCAAAAAAAGATCGTTTCTACAAACAGTTGCACAGACCATTGCCTCCGGCTCTGCGGAGTCTCTCCACGCAATGCTCCCCACAAACCACACGTTGGAAACAACTGCCCGAGATCACGGTGCACGCCAGACTGCAAATGAAGGGGCAAGTAGGTGGCCAACAGAAGGCAACAGGTCAAGTAGGTTGCTGGAATGTGTATGACTTTTTCAGGTCTTCTTATACAATGGGGTTTTCTGGGCATTGCCTTCCACTAAAAAAAACCTTAAAAAAGGAACTGCCCAAGCATGACAGTGCAGGACCCTCCAAAAAATCAGTCCTGTGACTCAGTTGAGGGTTATGATTGATACGAGTAATGCGGTAAATTTCCACACACACCGGCATGCAACCAAATCCGTGGACAGCGCCCATAATTACATCATTGTTTGGTCTGCGTTGTACAGCATCAGCTTAATGCACAGGGCAGCGGTTGTTATCCAATGCTCACTTGCTCACCCTCTCTCCATGCCACATCCACACATGCTCATTTTACCCTGCAGCCTTTCCAGTTCTGCCAGGGGATAATTGTGTGTCGCCTCTAGCCAGAGCAGTGAGCAGCGAGCAGCTCTCTAAGCTCGTTACGGTAATGAATACATTTATCTTAACGGACTGCGCTGGCAGCAGCATTCAAAACACAGCTCAACATGCATCCTTACAAGCAGCCAACGCGAGCTCATATGAAAGGAAATGGAGAGAAGATTAACATTTCCAGCCAGTGGTCCCCTTCTTCCAAGTAGAAAGGGCAGGCAGAAACTTCTATGAAGTTCAAGGGACACAAGGGCTATCACAACCGTAGGTGCGCTCTGTAGGCATTAAAAAAAAACGTGCCATGGAATGCACCCTATCATCTACAACGAAGTGGCCGTGAATACACCACACGTTGCAGTACCAAGCCTAGTACACAGCAAGACCTTATGGAATGGGGAAGAGCTGTTTGTATACAAAAATAAGGACCACATTATATTGTAAAGACTGTTTGGGCGAGTGCTGTTAGTGAGCACCTATTAAGGTCCACACAGCCCACGAAATGTGGCCAGCACCACGGCCAACCACCTTTGTCTACCCACTTTAAATGTTAATCCCCACCAATTCTAGCCATCGGCGAGGAATTGATCTCGAGTTGCCGAGTTCGTAGTGCAGTGCGCTAACCACTGCGCCACCACTCTACCACTACGCTGGCGTGCACACGTGCGCATAAACTCGCACACACACATGCACCCTCACTCACACACGCTAGCATACACACACGCACGATCACACACACACACACACACTAACGATCACACAAGCGATCAAAGACACATCGACGCACGCACGCGAAGACACACACAGGATGCACACCTTGCTTGATGATGCGGTAGTTGCCGCTCGGCTCCTTCTCCCACAGCCCGTAGCAGTGGCTGTTCTCGCGGCAGGGGATGGTATCGTTGTGGGAACGCACGGGCGAGCTGTGCCCGGCGGCCGAGCCGTTGCTCGCCGTGTCGTCGGACCACGCGCAGAACATCTCTCCGCTCGGCTTGGAGCCTGAGGAATAATAATAATTTGGTGCATTCGATATTCACGCCACTCTTACCGAAAGGCTATCATCGCGACACGTGCTACATTTCACGGACACAGTCTGTGGTAGTTTCGCAGCAGCGGGCTACGTTGATATGCGTAATATGAATGATTAATTAGTGGGTAAGTTTAGAATTGTTTAGCATGTTTCACACAGTGGCCTGCTTATTTCAAATGACGTCAGGAGATGCCTAGTGTCCATCGCGAATCAGATGGTGCGTAGTATTTTATGATTATTGCACCCAGAGTATTAACCTGGGTAACCTTCCAGGTTCGAACCACAAACCTCTGCAACAAGCGTCAAACGCCCTTACCGCTGGGCCATATCATTCGCCCCGAACATGGGCAACACGTGCACAATGCATAAACACGCACACAAAAAGAATTTACACACACATTGACACACATACAAATCATACAGAATCATAATATTTATACTGTAGGAATACGATGAGCTATAAACCTCTTTTTCACAGATGTCCAGTAGATACACACATACACACAATGCACACAACACAAGTATAAATCATATAGAAAAAGTAACACATACACCCACATACATAATTTTAAATAACATATTAGCACACATTACGTATGCCCATAATCCACTTACACACACAAACATAGAGCGTACACAAATAGAACACACACAAGTCCAAGTCATCGATGAATCTCGAAGGAGTTCACCAAGTCGGAATTATAGAAGATATATTCTTAGCTCTTTCGGTAAAGTCACGTTGAAGGGAAACAAAAAAATATTAAAATATATTATATATGTTATTATTTTATTGCTTCCCTTCAACGTGACTTTACCGAAAGAGCGAAGAATATGAATTACTGCAGTCACGAAAGCTTTAAATCAAAATTTATAGAAGATATGTTATCTCTACACAGCCGCAGCAGCTACAAGCCCGAGCTTAGGAAGCTCCCCGCTGGCCCCACCTTTCTCTGTCCTTGTATATCCCCAACCAGATCCCCCTTCCACCCTTGGTTAATTCCCAATTATCATAGCCACCAATACACTACCTCTTCGCCTGTTGCCATTCACAAACCGCCGGACTTCGAAGGGAGGCGCTCCATGTTCATAACCACAGGATTGCATTGAACACCATATTATGCATGTGGGAAAAGACTAGCCACACACAGCCCCATCGTAACCTAATCCATCTCGAATATTGCATCATCTCAAGAAATATAAAACATACACACACAAATGGAGATCATATACAAAAACACACTTACAAAATAGGCAACGGCCGCACGCACACATATGCAAAGACAAGGATCTCCCTTGTAGTCCTAAAGACTGTAGGGACAAGTGGTGTTAGCGAGCACCTATTAAGGATGTAACGGTGGACACCTGACCATAACAATTTCTTCCCACCTGTCGGTGGCGCCATGGGTAGTGCAAACCCAGCCACCTGGAGACCTAGGGTTTAATTCTTGGCCATGAATAACATTGTTAAGAACATAACTAGCACTAGTGAGCGACATTTGAACTGGTCCTGGGCAACATTGCCCCCCCCTCCCCCCAAACCCCCACGTTCCCCACACTGACCCAGCAGCGCATGGTGAATCAACTTCCATGACCAACACGGAATTGTATTGACGATACCTCACCATGGTTGCTCAGTGTGGGCTGGTTGAGGGACCCAAAGACCAGATCAGATATCACTTGTCAATGATGTGGCTAACATCGCTGGTCGAGCTCCTCCTTCACCAACACAGCGAGTGAATCGAGAATCATAATCTTTATTTAGACTGGAGGAATCTGATGAGCTACGAAGCTCTTTTTCACAGATGTCCAGTAAAAATGTAAAAAATTAAACTTGGGTGTAACTGGGTTCATAACACAGAGCGTTTACTATTGTACCACTGCTCTCCCAATCATCCCAATGCAGGACCATGAAAAGTTATCTTTGGCCTTAGGGAGGCTTTCCTGGGTAAATAATTTAATAATTTTCCCCCAAATCATCGAATTATCAATATTGATGAGTGGACATCAAACCCACTCCCTTTACAACTGCGGGGTGACACACTATACACCGAACGCTGGAAAAGACCCTGCTGAAAACAATTCAATAGCAGGCGAAGCCACGAACCAGCGGTGCATTAAGGTGAAAAGTATTATATCCATGAAAATGAATTGCACATTTTGGTGACTTCAAAGGATTCATCAGTGCCACATACAGTGAGGGAAAAAAAGTATTAGATCCCCTGCTGATTTTGTACGTTTGCCACTGACAAAGAAATTATCAGTCTGTAATTTTAATGGTAGGTTTATTTGAACAGTGAGAGACAGAATAACAAAAAAATCCAGAAAAACGCATGTCAAAAATGTTATAAATAGATTTGCATTTTAATGAGGGAAATAAGTATTTGGCCCCTCTTCAAAGCATGACTTAGTACTTGGTGGCAAAGCCCTTGTTGGCAATCACAGAGGTCAGACGTTTCTTGTAGTTGGCCACCAGGTTTGCACACATCTCCGGAGGGATTTTGTCCCACTCCTCTTTGCAGATCTTCTCCAAGTCATTAAGGTTTCGAGGCTGACGTTTGGCAACTCGAACCTTCAGCTCCCTCCACGGATTTTCTATGGGATTAAGGTCTGGAGACTGGCTAGGCCACTCCAGGACCTTAATGTGCTTCTTCTTGAGCCACTCCTTTGTTGCCTTGGCCGTGTGTTTTGGGTCATTGTCATGCTGGAATACCCATCCACGACCCATTTTCAATGCCCTGGCTGAGGGAAGGAGGTTCTCACCCAAGATTTTACGGTACATGGCCCCGTCCATCGTCTCTTTGATGCGGTGAAGTTGTCCTGTCCCCTTAGCAGCAAAACACCCCCAAAGCATAATGTGTCCACCTCCATGTTTGACGGTGGGGATGGTGTTCTTGGGGTCATAGGCAGCATTCCTCCTCCTCCTCCAAACACGGCGAGTTGAGTTGATGCCAAAGAGCTCCATTTTGGTCTCATCTGACCACAACACTTTCACCCAGTTGTCCTCTGAATCATTCAGATGTTCATTGGCAAACTTCAGACGGACATGGATATGTGCTTTCTTGAGCACGGGGACCTTGTGGGCGCTGCAGGATTTCAGTCCTTCACGGTGTAGTATGTTACCAATTGTTTTCTTGGTGACTATGGTCTCAGCTGCCTTGAGATCATTGACAAGATCCTCCCGTGTAGTTCTGGGCTGATTCCTCACCGTTCTCATGATCATTGCAACTCCACGAGGTGAGACCTTGCATGGAGCCCCAGGCCGAGGAAGAGTGACAGTTCTTTTGTGTTTCTTCCATTTGCAAATAATCGCACCAACTGTTGTCACCTTCTCACCAAGCTGCTTGGCAATGGTCTTGTAGCCCATTCCAGCCTTGTGTAGGTCTACGATCTTGTTCCTGACATCCTTGGAGAGTTATTTGGTCTTGGCCATGGTGGAAAGTTTGGAATCTGATTGATTGATTGCTTGTGGACAGGTGTCTTTTATACAGGTAACAAGCTGAGATTAGGAGCACTCCCTTTCAGAGTGTGTTCCTAATCTCAGCTCGTTACCTGTATAAAAGACACCTGGGAGCCAGGAATCTTTCTGAATGAGAGGGGGTCAAATACTTATTTCCCTCATTAAAATGCAAATCAATTTACAACATTTTTGACGTGTGTTTTTCTGGATTTTGTTGTTGTTATTCTGTCTCTCACTGTTCAAATAGACCTACCATTAAAATTACAGACTGATCATTTTTTGTCAGTGGGCAAACGTACAAAATCAGCAGGGGATCAAATACTTTTTTTCCCTCAATGTAGGAACATCATACATCCACTTGCGAGAAAGACTACACTGCCAGGAATCTCGGCAACACAGTTCGGGTTCTGAGGATTGCCTCTCCTCGTTCCACAGCAAATTGGGGAGGGCAATGTATTTTTATTTATTTATTTATTTATCAATATTGCATGCAATCAAACAAGCACACGGTTTGCATGGTGGCGCACGTCTGTACATTAATGGGTGGTGAAGAAATTTACTTTAGTGGATAACGATTATGGGGGGAGGGGGGGGATAAGATATCTGAGAAATAAAGTTGTGAACAACAAATCGAGAAAATATTAACCATCTTAGGCTTCATCATTGGACCTCCTTTGCCAATACCAAAATATGATAATAGGTTTTTCCCCTTTTATCTGGCAACACAACAGGTGTCAAGATGTTAAAACACTAAACTGAAACCTTTTACAAGGAATCGTGTCTGCATTAACCACAATGCTTGTGGTCAGAATGCAAACAAAAAACATCCACACACCTTTTGGCATCCTCTGGTCTAACACTATTTTAGACGAGGCTCAAAAGAAAGCTATCTCTTGTATGGACCAATCAGTTTCAAGGACAATGCCACATATATTATCAGAGTATGTTTATTGTTTTCATTCTGACCACAAGCATCGTGGTTAATGCATACATGATTCCTTGTAAAAGGTTTCAGTTTGGTGTTTTAACATCTTAACACCTGTTTTGTTGCCAGAAAAAAAGGGGAAAAACCTATTATCACATCTTAGGCTTTTTCATGACAGTTATTATAACCCATGCAAATGATCTCTCAAGTATTGACCGATACGAGCAAACCAAAAGTCATGAGTACTAAAAGTTCAATGCACAAAAGAAAATGTGATTGGAGGGACACAGCAGATTAAGCTTATCGAGGGAAATTATTGAAGATAGACTGGGATATTTTAAAAAAAAATAATTAACTAAGGGAGCCAAATCAGGTTGAAGTGCTTTTGTAAAACTGAATTTGACAGTGAAAGCAAAATTCCATGATGCCTAAATAAGAATGTTTTCAATAAGCGTATATTTCCTGCTATGGCATGCTTCATCACGCTGGTCAGCGCAGATTAGGTTAAGGGAGGAGGGCTCAAATCCCGTTCAGATATCACGAGCCACTGATGTTAGCCATTGCCAGAAGTTGAACTCAGCTCGCCA